TTATAAAACCTGACTACCTAGAGACACATTTATAAAACCTGACTACCTAGAGACCACATTTATTAAACCTGACTACCTAGAGACCAAATTCATAAAACCTGGCTACCTAGGCACCACGTTTATAAAACCTGACTACCTAGGAACCACATTTATAAAACCTGACTACCTAGAGACCACATTTATGAAACCTGTTCACCTAGAGACCACATGTATAAAACCTGTTTACCAAGAGACCACATTTATGATACCTGTGTACCTAGAGACCACATGTATAAAACCAGACTATCTAGGAACCACATTTATAAAAACCTAACTACCTAGGAACCACATATATAAAAACCTGACTACCTAGAGACCACATTTATGAAAACCTGACTACCTAGGAACCACATATATAAAAACCTGACTACCTAGGAGCCACGCTTATAAAACCTGACTACCTAGAGACCACATTTATGAAACCTGTTTACCAAGAGACCACATGTATGAAACCTGTGTACCTAGAGACCACATGTATGAAACCTGTTTACCTAGAGACCACATTTATAAAACCTGACTACCTAGAGACCACATTTATAAAACCCGGCTACCTAGAGACCACATTTATAAAACCTGACTACCTAGAGACCAAATTCATAAAATCTGACTACCTAGGGACCACGTTTATAAAACCTGACTGCCTGGGGACCACATATATAAAACCTGACTACCTAGAGACCAAATTTATAAAACCTGACTACCTAGGGACCACATTTATAAAACCTGACTACCTAAAGACCACATTTATGAAACCTGTTCACCTAGAGACCACATGTATGAAACCTGTTCACCTAGAGACCCCATGTATGAAACCTGTGTACCTAGAGACCACATGTATGAAACCTGTGTACCTAGAGACCACATGTATGAAACCTGTGTACCTAGGGACCATATTTATGATACCTGTGTACCTAGAGACCACATTTATGAAACCTGTTCACCTAGAGACCACATGTATGAAATCTGTGTACCTAGAGACCACAATTATAAAACCTGTTTACCAAGAGACCACATGTATGAAACCTGTGTACCTAGAGACCATATTTATGATACCTGTGTACCTAGGAACCACATTTATAAAAACCTGACTACCTAGAAAGCACATTTATAAAAACCTGACTACTTAGAGACCACATTTATGAAAACCTGACTACCTAGAGACCACATTTATAAAAACCTGACTACCTAGGAACCACATTTATAAAACCTGACTACCTAGGAACCACATTTATAAAAACCTGACTACCTAGAAAGCACATTTATGAAACCTGACTACTTAGAGACCACATGTATAAAACCAGACCACCTAGGAACCACAGTTATAAAAACCTGGCTACCTAGGAACCACATTTATAAAACCTGACTACCTAGGAACCACATTTATAAAACCTGACTACCTAGAGACCACATTTATAAAACCTGACTACCTAGAGACCACATTTATAAAACCTGACTACCTAGGAACCACATTCATAAAAACCTGACTACCTAGAGACCACATTTATGAAACCTGTTCACCTAGAGACCACATGTATGAAACCTGTGTACCTAGAGACCACATTTATGATACCTGTGTACCTAGAGACCACATGTATAAAACCAGACTATCGAGGAACCACATTTATAAAAACCTGACTACCTAGGAATTTAACCACATGTATAAAACCAGACTATCTAGGAACCACATTTATAAAAACCTGACTACCTAAGAACCACATAT